GTTTATTTCTTCCTGTTTATACGTCATATTTTGATTATCAGTGTCATTCTCCAATTCGGATTGACTATTTGCTGTACTTTTCAAGTTCTGTTCATATTCTTTAGCATGACGTCGTCTCAAATGTTTATGAAAATTACCAGTAGAACCTTTTTGGTCTATATATGTTCTTGTACAAATTTTTTACATTTTCCTCTAATCTTATTATCGTTTGATCGGAGAAAGGCAAAAAACTGCGCTAAGGACTCCACGTTTATTTGTGCTTTTAAAAATGGAATGCTAGTTATAAGAGATAAACCAAATTTAGAGATGAGTCACTCGCTACCATCTTTGGGTGAATACGTCCTTCTCTACTGTCGTGATGTAGGCGTGCACATAGGCGTTACATTCATTTAAGTTTTTCTTTTTTTGTAACGGCCTAGACACATTCCTGTTAAAATAACTGATTGTTTGATGGATTTTATCTTTTTGTGCGATCCCAGTTTCTAAAGCGCCATGTGCTACCATCTCTCGAAAATGTGTGGAGAAGGATTTATCAAATTTTTCATCTATCACTAAAATACTACTGAACACTGTATGCTAATCAGACCCCACTGAAGAAATGCTTCTTTAACAAAACAAATGAACAAATCGTAACAAAATGCATTCGCACATAGGTGTTATCTCACTGACACATCATTCTTGAACTGCGAAACTACTCCTGAATGGAATTAAAGTACCTGAAGTGCTTGAAAGATACTCGTAATGCAAGTACAAAGTACTTGTTGAAAGTACACGAGTAAAAGTACAAGTACTGTTCTAAAGTACAAGTACTTTTACTTTGTACGTAAAAAGTACAGAAAGTACAAGTATCCATGCTCTGAAGGGAACAGCATTAGATATTGAAACTCTGTCAGAAGCTACATGTGATGAAGAAGAAGTGTTAATTTTGGCATACCAACACATGGGCGCAACGATAGTTGAGGTTCAAAGGCGCGGTGCGGTTGTGGGTGAGTGTGAGTATCGATGAAGATTAAACAACCAGTGATTACATTTGGAGACGAGTAGGATAGAAAAAATTCTCACACTGTATCCAGTTTCTTTAAACAAAATTTTATCATTATGCATCATACTTTAAATGTACTCGTACTGAATGCTTTTGTTGCACATGCGCCCAAATGTCTGGTAATCGTTAATTTTACCATTTTCAGCATTTCAAGTTACAAATGTTATGCAATTATCAAGTGTTTCAGTTGAAATAACTCTGAAAGAATGTGTGGCATGAAGTAGATAATAATGAACTATTTTGACAATGGATGCATCATTGATCATAAAAACTTTAGCAACAACAGTAAAAGGTTGTTGCTAAAGTTTCTTTTGTATGACCACATTGCGTCTTCAAAATAATAGACGTCTTCAATGTGTCTACTGGTAGACATACAGAAGTCGCATACAAGACAATGGAACCACAAAGACGCTTAGTAGTCACATCTTAGTAGTCACCCTCACATGAAACGTCAACGTAAGAGGCCAATAAGACTAATAATTAATGTGCCTGTATGGTTCAGTGATGAACACATTCGTCTGGTAAGCGAACAGACCGAGTTCAATTCTTGACAGGAACGAAAACTTTTTTTAATGTGTCCTTTCTAGAAGACACATGAAAGCGACTTTAAAAGAGTCGCTAAAATACGGCTAAATGGGAACCGACTTCAGTGTCTTCCATGTGACTTAGAAGTAGACGTATTGGTGCATGATGTGTCTTCCAAATAGGCACAATTATGCGACTAAATGGGAATCGACTTCCGCGTCTTCCTGGAAATCGCATTTGTTTTAGAGTGTACGCTTTGAAAGAAAGGCGTACGCGTAATGTTAGAAATACTGGAAAAATGCCTAACAGGCGTGGATATTCTGTGGATAAGCCAATCATAAGAGAGAAACCAGAAAAGTTTTTTTAACTACGAGACTGAAAATATTAAAGAGATAACCTGAAACACCTAGAAATCCAGAGAAAGAATAGCTAAGCAAACTTTCACTGCAGTTCAGATATAGATGTCGCGGGAAATCAGTTACTATGATAACACAAAAAAGCCGTCTACGGATAATGAAACTTACAGAATATCGACAATATATCATAGAGCCAGAGCTCTGTATAGAATGGAAAGTTTTCGAATTCATCGACCTGAACTGGACTGGACTTAAACTTTCAAGAACTGGGTGTTTCCATTTAGATCCGCCCAGTTTATACAGACATAAAAGCCGAAAAAATTTCAAGACTCTTCTCTTGTAGAGCATAAAAAGTTACATAGAATCCCATATTCGTTCACTAGAAAAGTCATCATCTACATGCCATTTCAGGGATCCGAAGTTTCGGTCTTCCCTCTAATAAAGCAACTTTGCTCTTGTTTTTCTGTACCTCTATATAGAATTGTGCGGGAATGCAGAAGGAAAAAAAGAATCTATCTCAATCCGTACAATTCTGCGACTTCTTCGTGTCGGTTACTTCTATTTCATTATTCGATATCGTGCTAGACGGAGTAGGCAAAGAAGAAAGAAGAAGAGGAAAATAAACTTCCTCAAAATGTTTTTCTTTCTATATTTGTTTACTCGTTCTCTCATCGTCATCGTTTGGACTCACAAATACTTCACAAAAATATTAGATTATCAGTAGGCTACCGACATGAATGCCTATTGCTGATTGATCCAATCTAGGAGTTGACGATGACAAGAACGAAGATGATGAAAATATTGGATTGTGAGCGAGCAGTAGTCGATTGAATGAAATCGCTGTAAAAGCTGACACGTGTATAAATTCCAGGCTTGTTCGATAGGGCACTAGAGAGACAAAGAAGAATATCGAATGATAACCCATGCTATTTTTACTTAATGAACAGGAAAACTCTCTCGTACTTCTCAAGTGTAATATCCCGCTTCTTTTTCTGTTCTGTCTAATCAACTGTAGAACATCCGTGAATACAAGGGCAATACTAAGATTCTCAATAGGAGTTTCGTTATTAACCTTCTATTCGAACATATAGTTTATTTCTTTTATCTGACCATAGACTAATTTTTGGGCGCTGACCAGATCAGTGGTGTAAGAAAGCTGACAGAATCTAAGAGCTTATGCATAGCCAGGACGAATAAACATGCTCGAAACTATAGTCATCTGATCCTTGTGCAACCTCACGTGAATCACGTATTTTGCAGTTAAGACATGTGAAAGGCTAGGATAATTTGTCTTCCAACTCCTCGTTCACCATTCATGCCAAATTTACAACGTTTCATCGATACCAGTTCTTCCTACGACATGGCGCCGCCTGTGAACATCCACTTCCCATTTGTCTCCGCATGGAACTATGCCAACTACTTCCCAACGGTCGTTTGCATTTTTAATCATATGTAACTCAGCTCGGTTAAGCTTCAATTTTTTTACTTTTTGTTTTCTAAATCTTGTATTTTTCTGGAGATTAAAACATTTCTCATCAATTAAAACCACGAACTAGTGCTAGAAAATTCAGAAAATGTGTTTTGCGCTTTTTCACGGTTGTTTCACATGTTGTTGCTTGGTAATTGCTGGTAATAGAGCGTAGACCGCGTCTCAAGTATACTGCTGCATCTAGCACTTTTTCTAATCTTTCGTTCTTTCTTCTCCTAGAATACATTAAGAACGATTTTTCTTTTTCCTTGTCAGTTTTTCCACATCTTCCGTTTTTATTTGTCTTTTCAAAAGTAGTTCTCTTTCTCGTCTTTCTTTTTCCACTCCATTTCTTTCTTTTCTTTTTGGCGCACGCAAAGACTTGATTAATAATAGTGACGTGTAACGTGCTTTCTTTCTGTTCTTTACTTTTCAGACTACAATCTATATATACGAAAAATGTACGTACTCTTTCATTGTGTCGCAGACTCACTATTGCGCTAAAGAGCATTTGTATCGTCTTCGATGGTCCAATTTACCCCTAGCATCTGCAGTCAAAGTCAAAATATGGTTAAAACTTTCGGTTTTTAACTTATTTTTACCATATGATTTGCGCCAGAGCAGCGAAAACAACCGTACCATTTTTTTCACTCGTTCTCCTTATTACGCAATTACTTGTCGTTCGTAAAAAACAAATAAATGCAGAAGGAGAAGTAAAAATCGTACTGAGAGTTTAAATTATTACCCTGTAGAACTCAACCCGAACTAGGCATGTTAAAAGCTAAGAGCTTCCATATGTAGATCAGCTTGGTTGAGCTCCAATTTTTTTGCTTTTTGTTTTCTAAATCTTGTATTTTTCTGGAGATTAAAACATTTCTCGTCAACTAAAACCACGAACTAGTGCTAGAAAATTCAGGAAATATGTTTTGCGCTTTTTCACGGTAAGGAATGGTCGGTGACGTTTGATCTTCGAGACATTTTTGTAGAGAATCGACTTTCCTACAAAAACTATCTTAGCGTATTCTTACCTGGCGCCGTTTGCTCAGTGGAAAGGCGTATCTAATGATCTTGAGCAGTGTGAACAGCGCTACAGGAGATTTAGGTAAGAGACTTTTGTAGAAAATTCTATTCTCTACAAAAATGTCTATAGATTCATGCATCGCCATCCATTCTACTCTGTCGAAACATGCAAGACAGTTTTTTATAATTGATTAGTACCAATAAGAGGGTCTTTTATTGGCTAGAGACATTTTGTACTCAATAAACACACATATTTCAACAAAAGAAATGAGAAAACATTTAAGTTCAAGACGGTGCTAGTCAAATTTTGAAGCCAAGGCTTAGCTCATAACATACCTAACCTGAAACGCGTAATCTAGACTCCATCTCGAAGACAATACCGTCCAAAAGTAAACCATCCCAAATTCAATGCTTATGAATTCCAAAACGTTTCTTGGCTTTCGACAGAGATTTTTTCAAAAGAACACTGGAGTTTTTTGATTTTTTTCCTCCGAAAAAGTAAAAGTTGAAAGTTTGAACCCTCTTTTGAAGTTTATTGTAGATAAAATCACTTCTTATTATGAAAATGTCTCATTCCAAACTTGCCGGTTACGATTTCTATCGTTCTCTAAACTCTCCTCGTTACTGTATGGCTCCAATGGTCGAACAAAGTGAATTGGCATTTCGTCTACTCTGTAAAAATTACAACACTCAACTCACTTACACACCAATGATTTTCTCTCACACATTCCTCGAAGACAAAGAGCATCGTGTTCGACATTGGCAAACTACTTCGGACGACTATCCACTTCTCGTACAATTTTGTGGCAATGATCCATTGACTTTGCTCGAAGCTGGAAAACTTTGTCTTCAAATGCCCAATGCCCAACACTCCGTCGTCGGTATGGATCTAAACTTGGGTTGTCCACAAAAATTTGCACAACAACATCGTTTTGGTGCATTTCTAATGGAAGAACAAAGACTCGTTAGGGAAATTGTCTCCATATTACACAGAGAACTACCCGTGCCGGTAACATGTAAAATTCGAATTTTTAAAGATATTCAACAGACAATTTCCTATGCTGAAATGATTCGAGACGCTGGTTGCCAAATGTTAGCAGTTCACGGACGAACACGGGAACAAAGAGGGTCGATACAGGGTTTGGCTGATTGGGATGCAATCAAGTTGGTTCGAGAACGAATTAAGGGTAAGTGTTTGAGAGAAAATGGTGTACAGAGGAAAAATGAGGTTTCATCTTTTGATTGTATTCTAAGCCTACAGTGAGATGAACATTCTAGATATACTTATTATAACTGAGAAAATTTAAAAATCAATTAGCCATGGGAAAATGGAAGTAAAATCATAATTGTTTTCTACGGGACTTTTTGAAAATTCATGAAATAAATTGGAATCAGCATCGAATTCTGAGTAGGAAACTGATCAAAAAGAAGGTTCCCAGTGTTTTTTTAGAAGAACAATAGTATCTTTATCATTATCTTTTCCTTGTTCTTTTCGCTCTTGCTCCCTTTCTAGTCTCGAAACAGACCTTGATTATTATTTTCACTTTTTCGTTTTTTTTGTCTTTTTCTCTCTCCCTGTATCATCATACAACCATACGGGAACATATATATATACTATAAAACGTGTATGTACATTCTTTTTCTCCATTTGCTATCTTAGCTTCTTTCTACTTTTACCAGATCCTTAAATTGTTATCACAATATGCGTAGCTCTTGTTTTTCTCTATCGTCGATAATACTGTAGCTTGTCTCTCTTTCGGTGGGTAGAGATAGTATACAAATTGCTGATTTCTTACTTTTTCAAATAAATAGCTTATATCAAGGTTCCCAGTGAGATATTTTCCAAAAACAACGAGAAAATCGAGGTTTTCGATGCGTTTTCGAGAAGAAAAATTGAATTGTCTATGTTTTTCGCGCTACAAGCGCTATCCCACTTTTTTTATCGCGGTGACCGCGAAAAAACATAACAAGCTCATTTCTTTCTCGGAAAAACACCAAAAACCGCGATTTATTCGCTTTTTTTGTAATATATTTATTTTTTTCAAATATTTCCAAAGTCCCTAAGTAATAGATACTAATTAAGTAAGTGAAGAAGCAGCAACTTCCCGTACCCAAGTTTCGACGCTGATACCGAATCTGATATTGATTTTGAGGAATTACCAATAGGAGCAATTTTCACAATTTGGTATTGAAAAAACGCGTGTTTTATCCTGGTATTTCTCTGCGTTTTTTCTTTTTATGCGTGCGAGATACGCGTTTTTATCACAAAATACAAAACATTCGCAGTTTGGTCAAATTCGCTCGAAAGATTCGAGTTTCTAGGAAAAATATTAAGGAAAATTCTTTTTTCACAAAAAGCTTTCGCGTGCGCCGCATAGTAGAGCAAAAAGCGGATGAGAACTACGCTTTTTCTAAAGTCGTCACACGAAACACGCGTCTGTCTTACAAATTGCCGCCTACTATGGCGAAGTTTAGATAATTATTATTTTTCTCGACAAAAAACCGCAAAAAATGGGGTTTTTTTCGTGTTACTTTTCATTAAAACGTTGCAATCGCATCTCAAGTTTTGGACTTTGATATATGTTTTTGAGGTATGGCGACAAAATCGGGCAAGTTTAAGAGAAGCTGCGGTTTTTCAAAGACGGAAAAAGTAAAACAATTACCTGTCATCTACTTTTTGAAAAAAACGCATGATTCGCGAATATATTCTACGAATCCGCGATAACTGTGAGCCAATTTTCAGGTGGTTGCAAAAATAAATTCATAAAATCGCATGTCGCGCATGTTAGTTTTAGTAAAGCGTCGTTTGCGTGAGTGGTTTCGTTTGAAACGTCGATGGTCGTGTAATTTTTACAAAAAACGCTGGCAACCGCGGTTCTCAAAACGAAAATATCTCACTGGGTTTCATGTCGCAACACCGATCAGGCTGTCTTAAATTTACCAAAACTTGGTAACAATCCAGAAGCAACTGAGTCTCAAATGGTTAGCTAGACTCGCAAGGAGTACTTTCAGTTTGTAACTAGTACATAGATAGGCACAAAAAATGAAAAGAACTAGTTGCTACTATTGATGCCTGCTTAGATGGTTACTCACCAAAACTCAAAAGCTAGTGTTGACATCGCTCCAATTCTGGATTTTATGTACACTGATTCAATTCTTCAGTCTGCCATTCGAGCTTATGCGAAGAACCACACCAGATAAGGTCGATGTTCTGTCTCCTGTCTAAATCAAAGGGGCACACGAATTAGGATAGAGCGCTTCACCGGCAATATTTTTAACAACAAAAACTTACGATAAAAATTGTCCAGCTACTATTTTATTTTGACCATACCTCGTGATTTAAAGCTCGGCCAAAGATTATAATTGTAGATTAGCACTGCTAGTTGAATTCTGTGTTATAATATATGCATACGACCTCACTCAGGCAAAATTCATATTCGTCCATTTTTCTCATTAAAGTCGCTAAGGTAATGGTCGAAAATTAATTTCGTCTGAAGGCATTATGCACGTATTCTGACGCAGAATTCAACTACTAGTCCGAATCTGGTATTAAAATCTTTGGCCAAGCTTTATATTACGAGATATGGTCGAAATAAAATTAGGGTCAATCATAGAATATGGGTGAAAGATGTATCTAGTTTTCCCAGTCGAATGATTTTTTTCGTAATTATTTTTTTTTGTTAAAAATGTTGTACATGAAGTGCTCTATCGGAACTGGTATATCCCGTTCATGTAGGTTGGGTGGCAGATTATTGACTTTATCTTGCGTGTCCTTTCAGACCTATATCTCTACTGTCGGCATGTGTAGGGAAATCATTCTATGGCCTCAGAATGTTATTCTGCATATGAAGTATAAATGCCATCAAAACCGGAAATCTTTATTTTTCGAATTATACCATTTGCTCAAAACTTGCTCTTTAAGATATTCCTGTGCTGGCTAATGGAAATATTAGAACCTTGGAAGATGCGGAACGGTGTATTGACTATACAAAATGTGATGGTGTTCTGTCTGCATGTGGACTCTTGGAAAGTCCAGCAATGTTTAGTGGGAGTGATGGTCAAGAAAGCAAAGTGATATTGGCTAAAGAATATTTGAAATTGTGTGCAGAGCACCCACCTCCAGAATACAGTTTTATGACGGGACATGTGTTCAAAATGTTGAAGGCACTTTTAAGTGATCATGAAGATTTGAAGATGAGACTGGGAACGGCAAAGACACGTGAAGTTATGTTTGATGTTGTTTTAGAACTTGAAAGAAGAGTGGAAAATAAAATGTAGAGGAACTTGAGTGTTGCAAGAGTAGTAGATTTTCTGGCAATAGCGAGCTATAGTCGAAAATCAAGCAGGAACTGCTTAGAAAAACAAGATATGATTTATCGAGATTTGAGGAGTGAAATCACAGGATAGTGTTGAGACGGAACCTATCCGACTGAATCCGTTTAAATGAGCAATGCAAACGGAGAGAGTAGGGCTGTGACAGTTACCAGTTGCTGCTACCACCGTTACTCGGTAACTGTAACTGCTGAACAGTTGACGTTCTTGGTTACGGTAACGGGTAGACAGTTACCGTACACGTAACGATAACGACCAGTTACAAGTAACGGTAACTGTTCAGTACATCTTACGGTTGTGCGGTAACTGCTTACCCGTTACCGTAACCAAGAACGTCAACTGTTCAGCAGTTACAGTTACTGTAATGCTAATGATAACTGTCACAGCCCTAGGAGAGAGTCGTTTTTCTTTTCTGAGTAATGATGTCGAAACACCAATCTTATAAAACCTAATGTTTCAAAACTCTGCTGCGTTTGTCCGTTGTTGTTTTCCAGGAGGCTTCTTTTTTTATACAACACTCCCATCCCTTTTTGGTCATACTTAATACTAGGAGATTTAAATTTCTGGTTAAAGGAAAAGGCCTTTTGAGCTGAAAATCTCGTAGCCTTTATTTTGATTAGCTGAGGCAAACCAAACATTTCAAGGATTTGAGATTATCCAAATCTTTCCAGATCGAGGTGCTTGTTTCCACTGAAAATAAAAGACAAACAAAATCCTTCTTGAGGGTGGATGCGAGCGTGTAAGTGGCTGTCGTTTTGGCTCACTGCTCGCATCACACAAACCCACCCTCACACCTCAAGATATTTGTATGAAATTATCAAATCCCTGAAACGTTGCTAGAAAAAAACTACTCTACAATATTTCAGAGAGAATGACGGATGATTTTTACTTAGACCGCAAAAATCCTGTGGCTCATGTTCATTTTTTCTGGTTTATGCACAGAGAAATCACTAGAAATCCTTTCTAAAATTGTGAGAATTAGGTTTGCTTAGGTTTTCGGATGAACTGCTTCGTTTGAGCTGATTAGAATTTTTTGTCGTGACATCAATCGGGCAGTTGTTTTGAGTGAAAATACACACTCAATTATGTACTGTTCAATAGATTTTGACCAAAAGCAACTAAAACATTACGAGACCTTCTTTCGCTAGCTTTTTCTTTAAATCGGTGCGGATTCTATTGTTAGCTTTTTCGAACCGTTCTCTAAATTTGATCCCTAGAGTCCGACTGAACAAACTTTTTTGGTTCATTGTCCCGATTCCGTACCCAAGGAATAATAGATTTTAAGTCCCGATCTGACTAATCCATGAAAATTTTGTTTTGAGAAAAGTGGTGAGTCGCTCTTTGTTCGCTCATTGAGAAGAAAATACTTGAACAAGAGATCTTTTTGCAGGTGTTTTAATAGAAAAAGTTGTATTTTTCTTTGTAGGTATTTAAATTTTCTCCCAAAAATGTCAAAAATTTTGTAAAAAAGAAAATGCCCGTGACTAGATGATTTCAAAAATTGGTTGCGGTCCCGGTCCCGCGGAATCGAACCGGGACAGTTAAAAATTTAGTCCCGTCTGACTCTATTCATCGCTCGTATTTGTTAGACAGAAGCTGTTTCACAATAGATTTTAATCCAGATAACATTCACGATGCAAGATGCTCTTTCCGTGGTGCGATACTCATGAGACTACAGCCAGACGAAATTCATACAAATTTAGGCACTGGAAACGAATAGAATGCAATGTTATTTTTCGCAGGAGAGGTGAAAACTACTGAACAGCGTATCTACTGTCCTGCCTACTTGTCACTTAAGAAAAGGTGTTTTCGTTTTTCGAGAATGTATTAACTTATGTTTAAAAATTTAGTATTTAGCTCAAAAGATAGAGAATTTAAGACAGCCTTCGCCAGAAAACCGACCTACTGAGTAAGGCTGTCCGGAGGAAAATTTAACTAACTTTTTTTGTCTCATTCGAAAAAGCATACACACTAACCACTAACCCTGCAAACTCTTCCTGAAAGCGCTTTTATAAAAAGTAGAGGCCAAATGCTCTGCTGAGCGTCACTCTTGTTATCAAAAAACGTACATTTTCACAAATTTTCGTATTTTCTGATGTTCTGAAAAACTATCAAACTCCTATGATTCGTTCATGGCTCATTTGAAAGAGAAATGTTTACTCTATAAGGTCATATATTTAGACATAATAATCTAGAACTAAATAATAGAAAACTAAAATATTCGTCTTTTTTCAGCACTTTTTAAACAAAGAGCATGCATATGATGCTCCCAAAATAAATCTTACCTCATTTTGTATTTTGTAGTATTTTTTGAGTGATGATTAGCGAATTTTTTAATTAGGTGAGAACAGCCTGAAAACGCAAATTTTCGTAACACTCGCTTTTCGGTAGATTTTTAGAACTTTTTCTAAAAACAAATATTCCCACGAGCCTCAGCATGATCGATTGCCTATAGTCCATCCGTTTTCAAGGCTACCAATAGTCTCCGAGAGCCAGTCTTGGAAATCCCTAGAACGTGGTTTTCGGAAAACCGACAGCACAATGCAGACGCACTGGCACTAATTGGTGAAAGAAGTAAAAGATAAAGCAGGCAATTCTGCATCGATTTACATGTAATAGAACATTTCAAAATACTAGGGCGATGTACTATAAATCAAATATTGAGGACAGGCATAGCTTTCATCGTTTTCTTACTTTTCTAAAATTTTCGTACTCGAGTATTTTCTAAAATTTTCGTACTCGAGTATTTTCTAAAAAAGTACTAGAGTAGTACTCGAGTACTTCTTAGAAAATACTCGTACTCGTACTCATACTCGACGCCCAGTACTCGTATTCGTACTCGTACTCGAGAATCTGCGTACTCCTCCATC